CATGTCTCCAGGTTGCTCTCCAAACGCTCTGTGCTACCATATGAAGGCCCACGCCGTGAGTATACGATTTCCCCCTTAATATTGTCCGACTTCATTTTTTAAGCTAAGAAATTCAAAGACCCACAGCCACTGTTTTTATTACCTTATAGCCCTGCTTTTACTCCGAATCCACCTTGAACTTGAGCATGACCTGCCTGGCGCGGAGCATCAATTATATGATAGTCTGCCCTGAGCTCACCTGTTCCTGGGTTTCAGCCCTTCCCCAGGGTGAGGCTTGTGGTTTCCTACCTCCACACCAGAGCGGAGAGGAGTTACACCTCCTCCTCTGTTTATTGTCACCCCCTTTCATGGCCTTCATCGCTGAGAAATGCAGCAAAGCGCATTCTGTGGGAATGAGAGACGGGCACTCTGCTGCTCTGTCCCCCCCACCCCCCACCCCCACCCCGGCAGCAGCAGCGCTGGGGCAACAGTGAATACATGGGAAAGTGTCTTGAGTAAAGAAACGATCAACCAGCATCAGGAAGTGTAGCCATGAGAGAGGGGGCCGCTGGAAACTTCCACAGAACCCGGGACCACATTCCACTCTTTTCTTTTGAAATTCCGGGGTCAGTTTCATGTCCATTAAGTGCATGGGAGGGGTCAGAGAGAGAGAGCTTGGGGTCCCCTCCACGGGTTCCTCACTGAAGAGCCGCAAGACCCGTGTGATGAGCAAGGCCCCTTGAACTACCAGCTTCTGCCCTTTGCTCCACTGGTCAGGCGGGGCTCTGAGTGTTTGCTATGAATACAGTCTCACTTCCGGCCCTGTGATGCCCGTGAGGGTTCTACACATGCACACATACAACAACACACACTGCCGCTGCGGTCGCTCAGCCAGGGGTTAGGTTGGTATCTTGTTACTGAGGCTTGTTTGGGGTTTTCTCTTGCACCCGCCTCTTTTGTAAGCTTTCGAAACAAATGAAATGGTTTATCTCTAGTTCAAAGAGGATTTTCCCTGCCGCTGACTATGCTGTAATATAGCTCAGTCAAGGCCTCGCGCTCCGCATGCAGTGAGTCTCCGCAGTGGGTGGGGGCTGTGCGCCCTGCGCATGTCACCCACCTGCATTTCAAGCTGTTACGTTGACCTAGTCTTTACGCATCTCCTGTGTGTGAGTGGAGAGCTACTGGAATGATCGGGGGGTTCATACATGCGCCTGTGGGGCACTGTGCAGAGTGGGTCTTTGTCGTGCGCTGTGGTGTGAGGACAGAAAGCCCAGAGCCCGCCTTCTAACTCCTGTGGAGTGAGAGGGAGACGGTGACGGAGTCAGAGCCCTTCCCTGTGAGGGAGCCATGACGCCTCCTCTTGCTGTTTCCTTAAGAAATCCGAGGTGCCGAGAGCCCAGCGTGCCACTCACACTGGTAACAATAACAATGACAACCATGCGGTCATACGTGTACCATGTGTCACGTGTCTGTGCAACCAGACGCCCCTTGCTGCCCCACGTCCATGATGCCAGCTGTGTGTACATGCGATGCTATCACACACGATTGCAGGCATGAAATAACTCGCCGTGGCCGTCTCCCAGCACTCAGTATAGACGGGGGGCTATGTTAAGTGCTTTCTGTGTAGTGTCTTATGTACTTCTCACCAGCCCATGAGGTGGGCACTGCGCTCATCCATCTCATTTTTCTCGTGGGCTCACTGAGCCACTGAGAGGCTAATTAACTTTACTGCACGGTGGACCTGGGTTTAACCCAGACATCTTAATTCCAGAATACTTGCACTTAATTGCTAGTCACACTGTCTCTCTTGAGGAAGTGAATGAATATCCTAAGTTTAACATAATTGGAAAATGTGCTGTAAATGTCACGGATGTGCACATGTTTGCCAAGCTTTGGGAGCCCATATTGCAGGCATGAAATAACTCGCCGTGGCCGTCTCCCAGCACTCAGTATAGACGGGGGGCTATGTTAAGTGCTTTCTGTGTAGTGTCTTATGTACTTCTCACCAGCCCATGAGGTGGGCACTGCGCTCATCCATCTCATTTTTCTCGTGGGCTCACTGAGCCACTGAGAGGCTAATTAACTTTACTGCACGGTGGACCTAGGGTTTAACCCAGACATCTTAATTCCAGAACACTTGCACTTAATTGCTAGTCACACTGTCTCCCTTGAGGAAGTGAATGAATATCCTAAGTTTAACATAATTGGAAAATGTGCTGTAAATGTCACGGATGTGCACATGTTTGCCAAGCTTTGGGAGCCCATATGCTCAGGCTATGTATGTGCATATTTGCATTGATCTCAAACAGGTCCCGTGCTGGTGCTAGGAACTCATGCGGTATGCACAGTGTGGGTGTATGAGTGAGCTCTCAAATCTGGACCAAGATGCTGCCATTGAAGATCAAGATCATTCCGCACGAGAGAAAGGACAGGCTAGGGTGGGCGAGCTGCGCTCCGCCTCAGGTGCTCCCAGCGCAGTGACTGCTCACCTGTGTGCCCTTAGATGACCTTCCCAAGCCTCGCCTCTTCTCACTTGAAAGTGGGGAGAACAAACGGCTCCCTAGATTGCCTTGAAGAGTCACTGAGATCACACCGGTTCACAGTAAGTGTGTGGTCACTGTTAGCTGCTTTTATCATGATTACGTTTGGACATTCGTCTGATTTAAATAGAAATTTCCCACCTTCCGCATAGAACCTGTGCACAAAGGTTGCTCTTTGTAACATTTCCCCTCGGAAAACAAATGGTTCCTGCACCTGCGCCAAACACTTGCCCCTGCGAGGTGCTTAGGGCCAGTAACACGGGAACAAGTTACTTTGCGTGAGTGGAACGTAGGAGGACGCAGTTAGGGAAACAGTGCCAGGAGGCACGGAGGAGTTTAGCCTTTAGAAGTGTGTGGTGACCTCTGTAAATCTAGAGCTGTTCTTTTCTAAATTTATTTTTCAATTACAGTTGACATACAATATTACATTAGTTTGGGGTGTACGATGTATCAATACGACTGTTCTTCCAATAAAGTTTATTTTTTAAAGAGTATGTGATAAGCCCTGGCCGGTTTGGCTCAGTGGATAGAGTGTTGGCCTGCAGACCAAAGGGTCCCAAGTTTGATTCCAGTCAAGGGCACGTACCTTGGTTGCAGGCTCCTCTCCAGCCCAGGCCCTGGTCGGGGCTCGTGCAGGAGGCAACCAATCCGTTTGTTTCTCTCACATCGATATTTCTCTCTGTCCTTCCCTCTCTCTTCCACTCTCCCTAAAAACCAATGGAAGAATATCCTCGGGTGAGGACTAAATAAAAAGAGGTGCGTGGTAAGAGCTGAGTCCGGCAGCAGCGGCCTAGGCCCCGTCTCTCGGCTCTGCGTTCACTCCCGGAACCGGCCCTCCTGCGGCTGCCTCTGATGGAGCCCACAGCGCTCAGTGACATGAGGTGCCTGAGTCCCTCCCCTGCCCCCCGGGCACGGCCAGTCCTGGAAGCCGGCCGGTGAGGGACTCTCAATTAAGCAACAAAAGGGTCTGTGATAAGATGTTTCTAGACCCAGCTCTCCCGCAGTGAATGGATTAGCTTCCTCCTTGTAGCACAGCAAACGGCCACAGAGGAGTTCTTGAGCCTCGTTCCTCATCTATGAGAAGTGGGGCTGGCTTCCTAAGGTGTTTTCCCGCTTTGAAACTGAGGTGGAGCGAACAGACATTTAGGGGGAATGAAATGGCTCAGTGGGGCTTCGTCGGGGTTGGCGGGCGTCCTGGGGACGAGCAGGGGTGTGAGAGAACCGTTGTTTTCCGGGCGCAGGGAGCCCTGGCACCGAAGTGGCCCGAGAGCCCTGAGGGAGGCTGGGAATTCGCTTGTCTGGAGGTCTTGAGGGAGAGGATGGTTGATCTGAGGCCTCAGCAGTAAGCGAAGGAGGGTTGGTGGAACGGTTTCTTTAGGGCTGATAGCTAAGCAGCTGTTTGCAGAGGCATTCTTGTTCCTTCCGGTAGGTGCTCCCTGACGAGCTCCCAACGCCTGCACCTGAGAAACCTGCGCTTTCGCTCGTCAGGAATGCGTGTTCCGGGCAAAGAGTCCATCCTGGCGGCCTCTCGGGGCTCCTGTGAGGCAGGCTTCGTGCAGCGAGCACCGGAGGGAGGAGTGACCATGCCAGAGCTGTCCCTGAGGGCGCTGGGGGCTCTCCAGGCATCACAGCCCAGGCGCACTGCGGGCAGGAGTCCCCAGCGGGCAGGCTGGGAGCTAAGGGCATTGCCTGCCTCTCCAAACCTGGCCTGTCCTCCGCCTTCCCATTCCTCACCCACTTCAGTCTCAGCTGGGACTGAGCTTGTGCGCCAGGCCCAGTGGCTTGGTGATCGATGGCAGCGAAGGGTGGGGCGGGAATCCTGCCGTGGTGGCATCTATAGTCGAAGGGAGGAGGACGTTGCGAGGGATGCGGTGGAGGGTGGCAGGTGCAGTGCAAAGGCCGTGTGGGCCATGGCCCGGCATGTTTCATCCCACGAAGGACTGTTTCAGTGAGCGCGGAGGACATTCTCAAAGGAAGAGAGCGGGAGTCATAGGGACAAGGAGAGCAGCGACAGCCTGTGGGGCCTGTGGGGAGCCGGGAGCCTGTGGAGTCCCTAGAGCTTTGGACCGGAATTGCCCTCCGGAGTCCTCTGCTCTCACCTGGGAGCGATTGATCGTCCCCCACTCAGTCGCTGCTGAGGGGGAACTAACTCTCATTTGTTGCCCTCCGGAGTCCTCTGCTCTCACCTGGGAGCGATCGTCCCCAGCTCAGTCTCTGCTGGGGCGTCGCTGACGCTGCCGTTCATTTGGGGGCTGTCTGGTCGCTGGAGGAAGTGGCTCTCTCTAAGAATCTTGTGTGTGAGGGAGGGAGAGCGGAGGAGAAAATAGGAGGGAGGAGAAGGGGGAAGGGGAGGGGAGAGGGAGGAAGAGGCTGCTCATGTTCACCTTAATGAAGCCTTCTGTGAACTGGGATGCTAGTGGGGTCTGCCTGCAGGACTGGGGAGGTGGGGGGCGGGGGGCACTGCGTGCTGACTGGCTGCTCCTGGAGTTGAGCTGGGAGATGCAGTCATGGTGGATGGGGTCCAATGTGCTGGCTCCAAGGTCCAAGGACTCCAGAGCCCACTTGCACAGAATGCGATCATGTGAGCAGACTTTGCCCTGCCTGGCAGGCGCTAAGCCACTCCTTACAGCATCCTGGACACAGTCCGCGCTGCGCTGGAAGCTAAACGAGAACCCGAGACCATGCAGAAGTGACTTTTAAAGGCCTTTCCGTGCTTGCTAAGCCACCATTTCGGCAGGGGTGGCAAGCCTCATTTTAAGCAAACCCCCTTGTAAGAGGCCCGCGGTCCCTCCGCTGTGCGCTTGAGGGGCCACCTGGAGCAGCGGGGGGACAGCCCTGAGTGACAGGGGCCTCCTCCAGGCAGCACCTGCAGAGCCCTGCTGACGCCCTCAGATCCACAGGTTGACTTCTGAACAGGTAAGAGGGGTTAGAAACACTTAGGTACAAATGAGGAATTAGAACTACACCGCCTTTATTTGTTGCAAATGAGAAACCGCTTCGGTGGCCCGAGTGGCCCGAGTATGCCATAAAAATATTTCTTGCACGTTTTTCTAGCAAGTGAGTTCTGCTAAATAACTGGGATGGCGTTTCTTTTAAAAATACTTAGAATTCAGTAGGAACCCCCAAGAAAGCTGATACCAACTTTGTGGCATGTTTTACTTAAGGAACAAATAAAAACTGACCGAATTAAACAGGGAAACCAAGTGCATCCGTTTGCAGCATCATAATCCCAAATATTAGTTTATTTACCAAATTGCAAATCAAATTAAAGTCTTCACCACAAGTGACAGAATCCGTTTGAATGGGGCTGAAAATTATGTTTTACAGGAAATTAAGATAGACTAACACAGTGGAGTGGAGAAAACACTGGTTTTGGATTCAGAATACTGGGTGTCAATGTAAGAAACATTCAAACCTGCAGAGAATTTTTGTGAGTTTATCTGAGCCAACTGTCAACAATTGCCAGGAAGCAAAATCTCAAGGGGTTGAGATAATGCTCCAGAGAAGCGCCGTTTAGCTCGGCGGTCGCCAGGCTTTCGGACCTCGCGGGCCACCAGTGGTCTGTGGACCGACAGTTGGCGACCGCTGGTTTAGAAGATGTAAGTGGGTTACATGAAACCCATTGGTGATAGGCTAGGAGGTGAGAGAAAGCAAGGGGGGGCGGGTGTGCCTCGGGAATGGATAAAAGTAAAGTGATAAACACACAGGTGGGTACAGCACAGTTAACAGTCAACAATGATCAATGACAATGAGGGGATTTGGGGTCTCCGTGATGCCTGTGCTTGGAGGGGTCCTTTAAAAGGAAATTACTTTGACATTCCAAAGGTATGATGCTAACAGACAGGCTTAATGAAGGTGCAAATTGACCTTTGTCAGGGAAGGTTATGGCCTAGGACATGACTACCCACCATAAACTGCTTTTAGCCAGAGAGCTTTCAGTTCAGACCATCCTCTGTGGTTCCTTTCCGTCCCCGCGTTTGTAAGGCCACCTGAGCCTGCCAGGTCTAGTGTGTGGCCCCTCCTCATACATGGGGATGGGAATCACATCTTGATGCCTAAAGTTCCTAATCAATCTGGGCCTCGGTTTCCTTACCTCTAAAATGGGGGAAATGACCCTTACCTGATAGGTCAAGTTTAGGACTTTTATAAGGCCTAACTGAGACAATGCAGTGCGTGGCTCAAGAAATTTTACCGAAGCAAATTTCCATTTGGCTCAAGTCCTCGCTACTCTCTCAGCTTTGAACTGAAAGGGTGAGAGCTTGGGAGTTGATTACTGACAGACACACTCTATTGAGTTGTGCACAAGTCAAGCAACACTTCAATGCATCAGGGAAAGTTCCCACAGAAAGGAATTCTATTTCCAAAGCAAGGAACCATCCTGTTCTATCTTTTGTGCCAACCTCCAGGGTCACATGTTGGGATTCGTTCTAGTGAGTATTCGTGTTTGATTAGCTTCTTGCTCTGTGCAGGCTTATGAGGGAATTAGATGCAGAAAGAATGTGTTCCCACAAAAGCAGAAGGAGTGTTTGGACTCCTTGTGCCATTTGACTTTTAATTCTTCTTGGCTGTAGAAATGAGGCAGGATAGAAAGGGGAAATCCGACCAGTGGAATGAGGAAGCAGGATCCCACCTCCTCTCACCAGAACTGCACCCCCTCTGTGTGATCCAGGGAACTGGTTAATGGCAGGAACCCCTGGTGGTCCCTGGTCTTGGAAGTCACAACAAGGCTCCCTCCCAACCAGAGGTGGAGACAGAACTTGGAACCATCCACCCCCACCCCCACCGTGGGAACAGTAAAATCCCAAGAACTAATTAGCTTCGTGAACAACGCCCTCTCAGGGTGGCCCGGGCCCACTGCTGGGTGCTTTTCGCTTCTTTCACAGCTGCGCCTGCGCCCGGCCTTCTCTCGCTCCACCTGAATGACACTTGCTTTACTCTCACTCCGATTCGTCCTGGACATCTTTCCGGGAGGGTCAAGGTCCTGGAGGTCCCTGACCCCTGCGGAGGCCGGGCCAGCCCAGGTGCGGAAGCGGCCCAGTAACAGAAATACTATTTCCACAAGGTGTTCCATTCACAGAAAGCAGCTGGAGCTCCAGCCTTATGACCTTGGTCCAAGATTTATCTCACCTGTGCGTCAGTTTCCCATCTGTGACCACGGGGGGACAGGCTGGGAGAAGAATGGGCATTGTACTGAACACCCACTGTTTCTCCCAGGCCTAGAATCCTCAGGAAGGCCTACTGCTCAGACAGGTTTCCAGCTCCCACAGTTACTAGCCTTCCAGCTCACTTCAGGGGAGGGGTTGAAGGTGTGAACAATGAAGTGTTTTCTTTCCTGAAAAATCAAAGCCACACGGTCACTCAGTGTTTAGTGACCTGTCATGTTTATGGGGACCATGCAAGTTACTCAACAGGCGTCTTCCTCATAGAGTGTCACTTACTAAATTCGATTAATTGAATAAAAATGTTCATACGTGTAAAGGAACAATCTATTTTAATGAACCGCTTTTGTAAAACAGGGATTTGTATTCTATGATCATTCCAACTCAAACATTTAAAAGATAATCTGCGTTTTCATACACAATTGCTTAAACCTTTCCAGTTCAGAGACTCAGAGCTACAGTAGAGCCTCTAGGGCTCACTCAGCATAACCAATCCCCAAATCCCAGCTTCAGGATTAAAATGCCCCGCAGCCCATGGATCGAGGGGGATTGTGAGGTCAGTCTCAGCTCCTAGAGGAGGGGTGGGGTGCGGGCGCTGGGCTTGCAAACAGGACAGCTCAGACCACAGCAGGGGGGGGGCAACAGCTCTTCAGGAAAAACTGGAACATGGGCAGTGTGACTTTCACTGCCCAGAGCCGGGCCAGATGCAGAATTGTACAGGAATGAGCTACTTGCAGGTGCTCCCTCCAGATGCTAACAGCTCAGGGGCAGAGGGAATGGCTCAGAGCTGGGCTCCAGGGGCCGCTCCAGGAAACCCTCGCTGAGCCAGCCTTCTCGAGCTCCTTCCTGTGCCATAAGAAAACAATTCTCATTTTTTGTTTGAAATGTAAAAACTAATATCCCCCTGGCGCTTGGCACACTTGCTGTTTTATGTCATCAGAACAAACTGGGCAACGGTGACAGCCCAGTGTTACCCCTCGGGCAGCGAGTTAGGCTGCTCTGCTCAGCCCGGAGGCAGCTGGAAGCTGCGGCTGCTGGAAGCTGCGGCTGCTGGAAGCAGCTTCCCATCTGGGTCTGGGTCCGCTGGCCTGGCCAGTGAAAGGCGCTCCTTTCCTGACGGGAGGGAGGGGGTCTGGTCAGAAATGAAAGGTTCGGGCTGGCTCTGGACTTGATAGGAAGCATTTCCCAGAGCTGTGAGCCGTTCTTCATGGCGGCTCAGCTTCAGTCCCCACTCTGCGTCTTGGCCTCTGCACACAGAGCCCTCTATCTCCGTGAAGCCCTCCTGGTTCACATGTGATCTCGGTAAATTTCTGTTTAAAAAAGTCCCGTGTCTCCGTTGTCTAATTCCAAAACCAGACGCACAGCAGAGATAAAGTGATGGTCAGACCAGCTCTCGGGAGTCTGCGTTGGTTCTGGAGCTCTGAGCTCACCAGGACGAATCCCTCCGGCACCGCTGGCCCCGGCGTGCCCTTCCCGGGCCTGGAGCACAGCCTGCACAGTGATGCGTGTGGAGTGGGTACAAGGAAGAAGGTTTATAGTCGACGTGATCTCTTGCTCTCATTTCTCACCCAACGGAACGTCATGATCCAGCGAACTGTTCTTTCTGTGATTCCAGGAATACACGCGCCGTCTCTGACACGCCAGCCAGTGCCTTTGTGTTGAGTGGCGAGCGCTCCTCGTCCCCGCCAGTTTCTGGTGGCAGTGGGCTTCTTGCGATGTCCCAGGAAAAAGCACTTTCTAAGACGCACGTGGGAGGATGAGTGCGTTGTAGGAAGCTTTATGTCTGTGGAATTAACCCCTCCGTCCCACCAAGGAGAACTTCCGCCTGTGCCTTCAGCAGGGCTAGGATCACAGCCAGGCCCGGAGCCTCTGTTCCAGGTCGGAGCAGGGTCCAGACGGCACCGGCTGGCTTGGCTTGTGCTCCTGCTGCGGTCCACCGGCCCCTTGCGTGTAGGGCCACACGGCTATGGAGGGGACACGGCAGGAGCAAAGCCAAAGGAACCAGAGCCAAGAGGGCAAACTTCTCTGGTTGGGGCTTATGTATCCCCAAATTTTCAAGGCTTGCAGTGCCCTGTCCCCTCTAGTCAATGACCTCTGTTCCAGGTTTGACTGACAGGCATCTTCCCTAATCACTCCCACTTCCCTGTGCAGGCACCCAGCTTCCCTCTGTTGGACCCCTTGCCCAGGTGACTTGCAGGGAACGGGCTGGTGGCTCCCTGGGGAGGGTGAAGTTGCAGCTTCCTGGTGAAGCTGCCCAGTGACCAGGCCTGTCCTGTCTGGCCTCCTTTGCTCCTTTCCGATTACGAAAAACCAGCTAATTACAATGTACCGCTTGCACATGTGGTCCCTCGGCAGGGACGCAAGCCCCGGAGCTCTCCCTGGGACACTCTGCTCACCTGCGTGGAGCTGCCTCCTCTGCGAAGTCCTCTGGGCGCACCTGCACCTGCTGCGCTCCCACGGAAGTGGACTTTCTTACCCAAGTGCAGTTCTTGCGCTGGCTTTCTGCTTCTCCCTCCCCCAGATTTGAAGCAACTGAGGCCACGGTCACCTTTGACAGGCACTGGAGAATTATTTTGTGAAATAAATGAACAGTTTTACCGAAACTTTCAAAAACCCTTTACAGTGCCCAGTATTCTGGTGTGTGTAGAGTTTGGGCTTATTCAATATTTTTGATTGATTTGCTAGATTACCAGGTGCTGCCACGCTTCAATTTTCTTAGCAGATACAGGCAGAATCTCATTTTAACTGTCATAATCACACGGGTACATTTTGTTCCTTTGAAACATACATCTACCAACAATAAAAGACACACAAACACACACACACACACACACACACACACACTACTTTTCACATCCCAACTCCAGGTCCCAGAACAGAGTTTAACATGCTGTTTGAGAGGAAATAGATGTCTCTCCTTCATTTTACTGCCTGATTTCTGGAAAGAGCAGGTAATTGCGCGGCCTCCATTTGTTCATTTCCTACTTACTCTTTAATGTACAGCAACTGCATCCCTCCTGAGTGGTTCTCTCAGAGGCTCAGTGACTAATTACAAAATCGAATAGAATTATAGCAGACGTCCTCCTGCCTGGCTTCATCAAGCACTGGCACCGTCGATCTTTTTGAAATGCGGTCTAACGGAAACGCATGAGTTTCAAAGACCCAGTTTAAATGTGAGTACCTGTGTGAACTTCGGGCAAGTCCCCTTAAACCTATCATCATCCTCCAACAGCACTTTCGATGTCTGTTCTGGGTGGGTGGAAAGTCAGATGGGATTCTGTGTGTGACGCACGGAGCATCCCTCGACGTCCACCATGGCTCCTTGGTCTTCTTCCAATTGAGGTATCTGAAGAAATCTTCACAGGCGTCCCTTTGTCCTGCCCACCCTCTCATTCCACATTTTTCTCCCGCCCTGTTTCAGATTCTCTCTTACCTGGACTGTGTGCATATATATACTTGATATTCCAAAAGTATGACTGATTGATAGCAGCCTCTGAACTGGCCTGTGGGTCCTGACTTCGGCTTCTCCTGTACATGTCACACACTGTCTCCAGGACTGATTTCTTCAGTGCAGGTCAATAATGCCATTGCCCCCTCCCCCGCCAAAGCAAAGCAAAAACACAAAACTTGAATAGCATCCCATTGTCTAAAGAATAAAATCCAAGCTGGTAACGCTCACTGCACTCTGACCTCCTGCCCAGCCTCATGCCCTGTCCTCCCATGTGCCCGGACTTCTCTCCCTCGTTTCCAAACCTCTCCATGAGTTCTATTCCTCGGTGCCTTTACTCAAACTGCTCCTTTATTCCAGAATGTCCGCTTCCTCATTTCCACTGAAATTCAGACTGTAGGGCTTAAATGCCAATCCCTCCCCATGCCTGCCTAGACCAGCTCTTTCCCTCTGGCTCACATGTATCTCTTTCTACTCACACCCTGGGAGCACCTGCCTTTTGCACTTAATTAACTCTGCCTGCCAGGCTGCGCTCCATGCACACACGGTCTCGCTCGCTCTCTGCCCCCCGCGTGGAGCTCTCTGCTCAGGAGCTCGCTCCACGCTCTAGCTTAGCAGCTCCTCAGAGCACTGGACTGAATTGAAATTCAACATGAGCCGTCCTGTTTCCCAACAAGGGTCTTGTAAAGGAGCCTTAATTAGGTGTAACCAGGACAGACTTGGATGGCCCTTCCTTTGTGCCAATGCTTCTTAGGGCAGACACTGTTCTACTGTCACAGCAACCCGAGGAGGAACGGAGACAGGCCAGTTAAACCCGCAGTCGCCAACCTTTTGGACCTCACGGACCGCCAGTGGCAACCGCTGAGTTAAATAACTTACCCCCAAGCCAAACACTAGTGAGTGCAGGAAGGGGCCTAAACCCCCACAGCGTGCACGTCCGTGGGTCTGGGCACTTCATCACCAGTGGGCCGTGCAGTGGCATTTGGGGCCTTCCCCGCGGAGAGCAGCAGGTACCCAGAGCGCCCGCCTGCTCCTAGGGGCGTGCGGGGGACGGAGGGAGGGCTCAGCACGCCTCTTCCAGCCTGGTTGGCACAGACTGTCCTCGTAAGACTTAGAGGACACACATGATGTCAGTCTGCGCCTGGGTGTCCTGGTGTCAAGCACAGGGCAGCCGAGTGTTGTGCAAACATTGTCCTTTGACTCCCACGCGTTTTGATGAGCAATAGACCAGGGAGGCTTATCGGTGACAGTCATCCCGGGGCGACGTCACTGCTCGCCCTGGCCCTGCTGAAGGCGAGGGACGCTCTGCCGACCTTGTGCGTCCCCCGCTGAGGTCCCCTCGCCTCTGGCCGCGGAAGGAGGAGCTGGGCATGGTGGCCAGTCCGCTGTGCTTTAGGTAAACTGTGTTTCCAGCGGCAGGATTGAACACCCAGGCCTCCTGACTCCTCAGCAGCGGCTCCTCCCAGAAGGGAGATGCGGGGAGGGGTTGAAGCATCCAGGCTCCCATACGCCCCATGCCCGTTCCCTGCCCATCAGCCTGTTCGCTCCCTGTATTTCTCTCTCATATGCAAGATATTAAAGCTGCTTGTGGGGTTCAGGGAGGTGCTTAGTATCCAGCCATCAAAATGCCTGGGGCCAGAAGTATGTCCGTTCAAATGAACTCTGTTTTAGGGATAAATGAACTGCTTTTTTTTTAAGAGAGAAAATCTGGGTCTTACAGACCCACAATGATAGGGAGGGGCCTGGGCCTTTACGAGGAAGGCCTCCTGTCACTGCCTCTCACTAGGCTCCAGGCACCTGTAGAGGTGCAGAGGAAGCCACTCCAGCCCTGCTGGGCATCCGCTCAGTCTTTACCCGGCCTTACTCTCCCACAGTGAGCTGCACACACACTCATTTCCTCTTGCTCAGCAACAGGAGAGCCGAGGACAGCATCTGGCCATCCTTCATTCGGACCCGAAGACAGTTAATAACAGGACTCCGCAGCACCCTTCGCATTTCCATGTTTCCCGCATCCCCCTCCCCCCACCCCACCCCCAAGAAGAAGACAGTTAATAACAGGACTCCGCAGCACCCTTCGCATTTCCATGTTTCCCGCATCCCCCTCCCCCCACCCCCCAAGAAACAAGCTCCACCTCACGGCTGCCCACCTGGCTTCTTGCCCGTGCCCAGGGGCCAGACCTGGGGTTTGGCCATTCGGATGTGGTGGACAGAGACTGTGCTGGGAGGGTGCCTTGCACACAGTCCTGGGGGACGGTCCTGTCTGTGCTGCTCGCGATCGCCTGCCCTTGGCATCCTGGGCCCCCCCGGGGGGGGGGGGGGGGGGGGGGGGGGGGGGGGGGGTGCTGCCCCTTCTCTCCCTCTCCCTTGGATGCCACCCAGGAGAATCAAGCTTCACAGCTGTCACTTTCACTTCCGTCCCCCCTGGAAGTCTCAGCTGAATAATGGCTGCGCAGTCGTGGGCCTCAGAAGTAATAGACAGGTGCTGGGTGTCTTGTGTCTGCAGAAAAGGGAGCCTGAACAGCTGAGAATAAACAACAGTTGCCTGGTAATATGAACTCCTCGCATGTAAAGTCAGAGGCCGGCAGCCCGTGGCGGGAGGGGCGGCCAGGTTGTGCTGGCACCACCTGTGAGGGAGGCCAGAGGTGAGGTGTTTCCCAGGGAACCAGGGAGAAG